CAAGTCCTAGGCTCTGTGGTTTAACCCACAGCGCCACCCCTGTCCCCCTTTGGCCCTTAACCAGCAGTAAAACATGCACCAGTGAAAAGGAAGAGCTACCCACAGAGGAACAGCCTGCAGATTTGATTTCATTATTTTATATATGTTGGAAGCCGCCCAGAGTGGCTGGGGCAATCCAACCTGATGGGCAGGGCACCACCACCATCATCATCTGAGGGTGGCAGGTGAAGGCTCTTGACAGCTCCTACAGGATTCAACCCCCCTGCTCTTATGCTGAAGTGGGAGAGAGAATTTCTTCACCCAGTATGGGGGGTGGGAATTAAGTGCTGTGGCTTGCTGCTTTGCTGTGGGGATCGAAGCCCCATGTCCTTGGTTGGAAGGTGGGGAGGAAGGTGCTCCTAGATGTTTCTCCATGCCAGAACCATCAGGCTCTGCCCAGATTCCATCTTGGCTCCACACTGACTGACCAGGCCCTGCCCTGGTTCCATGGTGAGCTTTGGGCTCTAAATGTTCTAAGGCTAAGCCAGGCACCCCCAACCTCGGACCTCCAGATGTTTTGGGACTACAATTCCCATCATCCCTGACCACTGGGGTCCTGTTAGCTAGGGATGATGGGAGTTGTAGTTCCAAAACATCTGGAGGCCTGAATTTGGGGATGCCTGTTCTAAGCCCTCAGTTGCCTCCACTTGGTCTCCCCTACTCCCCCGCCCCCAAATTTCCTTAGAATGCGGTGACCCAGACCAGACAAATTACTCCAGTTAAGGCCGTACCAGTGCCAAATAGAGCAGCCGTCATGAGTTTTGGGGATTATTCACACTTGGTCGGCCTCTGGGCATTAACTAACATTAATTAATTGTGTTTGTCGGAGCAAAGAACCTCACTGGGTTCCTGGCAGAGTTGGACGCATTCATGAAGAGCATCCCACCATTCATTATAATTTTCCATCATTTATATATCACCGTCAATGTTCAGTTTGTGATTTATTTATTTTTAATCCTCGTGGAAAATCTTCAGTATTTAGTGCAAATTTCTCCTAAGCACGTTTTGTATGCAGCTTTTACTAACGCATGGATTTTTGCAAGTTATTTCCCTCAACATGCTATTTTTTTCTGTGTTGTCTTCACCTGTATATGCATTTTTGTAAACATCCTTTGGCTGGCGAACAGCATCACAAAATTCGGAGAAATACGAATTATCGAAGCTTGGCTGTTCTTCAGTTCTCATAAAGTTTCAAAAAGCGCAAATGTGATTGCTTCGGCTTTCAATGTGAATTGGATCCAACTTCCGCCCCATCTCTAGTAGTGGTGAGGGAGTGATAATCTGCGGAGAGGGGAGCCGTTGCATCTGAGGAGTGTGCATGAGTTAGCATATAAGGGTCCCAGGAGGTTGACTAAGGGTGAATGCAACCATCAGGCCATAGAAGCCTAGATGCCCCTATAGTAAGGATGAGGAAGCCATGGGTCCTGCAGATGACCAGATATGATGGGAGTTGTAGTCCAGGGATAGGCAACCTAAGGCCCAATCGCCTTCTCAATCCGGCCTGCGGACGGTCTGGAAATCAGCGTGTTTTTACATGAGTAGAATGTGTCCTTTTATTTAAAATGCATCTCGGGGTTATTTGTGGGGCCTGCCTGGTGTTTTTACATGAGTAGAACGTGTGCTTTTATTTAAAATGCATCTCTGGGTTATTTGTGGGGCATAGGAATTCGTTCACCCCCCCCCCCAAATATAGTCAGGCCCACCACATGGTCTGAGGGATGGTGGACCGGCCTACAGCTGAAAAAGTTTGCTGACCCCTGTTGTAGTCCAACAACACTTGGAAGGCAACAGATTCCCCATACCTGACCTGTAGACCAACTTGGCGCTGCCCAGATGTTGCTGGGTCGATCAATGTAGAAGTCTTCTAGACTACCTTCTAGACTTTGAGTACTTACCTGTGACATCAATGGGCCACCTAGCTCCCCGAGGAGCTGGCTTCAGGCACTAGGCCTGTTGGCAGACCCACTCTGTGCTACAAAGATGTCTGCAGGCGTGGCATGAAGGCTGGCAGCATTAGCCCTGCCCTGTGGAATCCCTTGCAAACTGCAGTGCCTTGAGACAGACCGTCAGGTTGTGCATCCACAGCAGTGACCAGAGGAGGAATGAGCGCTGGGAGGAGCGCAGAGAGAAGAAACACCATGGTGCAGCTGCAGCCGCACAACAACTGGATGCCTTCCTCTGCCCCAGCTGCAACAAAACATGTCTCTCCCATATCCGTCTCTACAGCCACAGCAGGCGCTGTAACCATCCAACCGTTTGACTTCACCCACAAAGGGGCGCTTCTCCATTGTCTCCCGAAACAGACGGATGCCAAAAACAGCAACCTAGCTAACTTGCAACTGATCTGGAGAAAACTCTTTTGAAGCCCTCCAACAAGTGTTTGGGTGATTAATGTTATCGGTGTGTGATTCTGCTAGCAAATGCAGTTACGATACTTAAGACATCATTTCAATTGAGGATTAAGGAGTCAAAACCAAATATTTCACAGAACAGCTTTTTTCTTCAGTGGCAAAGAAAGCGATTTTCTTTTCTGAGAGCCTTCAGTTATGGCCCACAGAGGTCAGGAAGGGCTGCCCTTGCTCCTCGGCCCAAGAGCACAGAGGACCTGCGTGGTGCATGGGGTCCAATAAGATGATCAGCACCGTCAATTAAGCTCAATGGCCACTTTACACAAGCACCTCAAAGCAAAATATGAAATAAAAAAATATGAAATGCAACATGAAATAATTAAAACACAAAGCACCATGCATTGTAAAACAACCGCAGAGTTCCCTAACATGGGTCTTTAAAAACCACAGGCAGCCCCCTGCCACCATCAAAATTTATATGCACTTATACATTCACGCAAACACAACCAATCACTGCAAAGAAACATTCCCCATCTCCACCTCCCTGGATGACTCAGTGGATGGGTTTGCTCATGCTTGGGGATTGACTCATTGCTCCGCTGGGGATTAAGGAAGGAAAGAATCTTTCCCCAGGCCAATCGGTGTGTGTGTGTGTGTGTGTGTACCAATAACTAAGGATTATTTGTTTTTCTTTGTGGTGGGTGGCTTGGCTCTCACGCGTGAGTGAGATGGAACTATTGCTCCGAGGTCTTTATCAGGGGTTGCACCTGCTCATTCGTTGCTTGGGTGGTATGATAGCAGGGTTTGCAGCGCAGGCTGACTAGGGTTGCACTGGCTGATTCCAGCGACCCTTTTTCTCCTCCTCTCCACGCATGCACACTCATGCGCGGCACTTTGTATTGCTCCCATTTTACTTCTTGGTAAACCTGCACCCCACCCGGCGGTTCCCAACACTGTGCTCTAAGAGCATGATTATACACTTCCGCTGTAAAGCTTTTCATCTCAGCAGAGGGTTGAAGGTGGTACGTTTTAAAGGTAAAGGTAAAGGTACCCCTGCCCATACGGGCCAGTCTTGCCAGACTCTAGGGTTGTGCACTCATCTCACTCTATAGGCCGGGAGCCAGCGCTGTCCGCAGACACTTCCGGGTCACGTGGCCAGCGTGACAAGCTGCATCTGGCAAGCCAGAGCCGCACACGGAAACGCCGTTTACCTTCCCGCTGGTAAGCGGTCCCTATTTATCTACTTGCACCCGGGGGTGCTTTCGAACTGCTAGGTTGGCAGGCGCTGGGACCAAACGACGGGAGCGCACCCCGCCGCAGGGATTCGAACCGCTGACCATGCGATCGGCAAGTCCTAGGCGCTGAGGTTTTACCCACAGCGCCACCCGCGTCCCTTGGTGGAATATGCAAGCCATCATATGACTCTGCATCATATCATTAGGACTCTGCAAAAGGACAGAATGCCAAGCTATTTCAGTTGTGCCTACACCTAAAAGGGAATTTGATGAGAGGGAATTGGAAGCTTGCACATTCCACGATGGCAGCACTGAAGAGGAAGGGTCTTCTTCCGGCACCTTTCGTTTCCCTACCCCGATTACCTGGCATGGTTTGAAAGGAAAGCCAAATAGTGGTAAAAAAAACAACAGCAGCTTTCTAGCACGACACTGAAGACTTTGTTGCTTGCAGTTCCATGTTTCAAGCCTCCAAACAATCTGCTATTTGTTTTCCTTGGCTCTAACTCAACAACCAAGGACAAACTTTGCTGGAAGCCATCCCCCTTGGAGGATTCCTACAACTTGGGAAGAGCGCACCCCCTAGTGGCAAACGAAAGCACTTTCTCTCTCTCTCTCTCAAAAGCTTGATGCATCGACTGATGGGCCGAGTTATGTGACTACGGTGAGTGCTCCCAGACATCAAGGGCTGCTTGCGCATGCAAGCTTTTTGCAGAGTTGACCCGAAGTTGTCCTCAAAATGCCAGCCTGCACTTTTTAGCCATTTAATGATGATTTCCCAGTAAGTAAAAACAACCCATTATGCATCCAAAGTCACTGTTAGCAAGGAAGCTCGTTAGCACATTTTTTGGGGTAGGGGCCAGCTGTCCCCCTGCCCCAAATTCCAAACCCATTTCCATCTATTGCTGTGTGCTGATGTCACTATTTCTCCAGGTAAACCTCATAGACTGCATTAACAGTGCATAACATCAGACTTCAATAAATAATAATAATAATAATAATAATAATAATAATAATAATAATAATAATATGGAGGTCTTTCACAATACCCCATTTATTATTCTGGCATTTCATTGCTGGTTTTCAAGCAGTAGAAACATAACGTCCTGCTATTAGTTTCTTTCTGAGCTTGCCATCCACCCTCAACTCCACTGAAATCAAGCAGCAGATCAATGCGGCTAAATATCATTCTAGTGTGATGAGAAATGACTGCTGGGAGGAGTGCAGAGGGCCTGGTGCATCTACAGCAGCGCAACCGGACGCTTTCCTCTGCCCCAGCTGCAACAAAACATGTCTCTCCAGCATCAGTCTCTCCAGCCACAGCAGTTTGGAAAATCTTTCCAGTATGGGATTTCTGAACACCAAGCAAAAGCAACTGAAGGAGGCTTACAATGGGAACATATTTATTGACACAAGACGTTTTATTTTGATAAAAATTTGTTTTTTAAATCATTTGCTTCCAACATTTCTCCATGCCTCAGAAAGTACTCCCCACCCCTGCAAACCTTCATTTCCACAGCTATGTACATCTTCAGCTACCATATGAGAACGAAACCTATGGAGGAGAGCTTCCTTCTGCGTGCGGACAACTTGGCGACCCTATCGAAAGCTACGAAACAACCACGTGAGGCTTAAACACAGGTATGTGAAACTGCAGACGGTTGATGTCCGAGGGCAAAATAAAAGATGAACAGATTTCACAAAATAATAATCATAATAACAATGACAGCAGCTACAGTTAGTTTACTAAGAACAACCACTGAACTGGATTAAACATTGTGTAAATGCTGGTGTGTAGGAATACCACTGACAATTTCCCTCCTGTTACAATGCTACAGCCTACGTTATTTCACAATTATGTTGTGTGTGCACACGTACACACGCAAGCGAACATTTGCTACTTTTGCATTTCGATAACACAGCAAGTGGACAGAGCATAATTACTCATGAATGCATTTTCAAACAAAATGAGGGGAAAGCCCTACAAGAGCCTATCTTTCTATTAAAAAAAAAAGAGAGTCCTAGAAGATTTTAAAATGGACAAGATGATGGGGGGAAAAACCCCTTACACAATGTCTTTGATAACGCTGCAGGGGGAAAGAAGTCAAACATGGTTAATGGAAAGATTGCCTCCCTCTGGGGCATCTTTTGCTGACAACTCAAAGAGGCTTGTTCACCAGATCATTTGAAAATTAAGTCGACGTTACGGAGGGCAACTTCATAGCTTCTCTGGCAAGCTGCTCTTTGGAAGATGAAAACTGGTCTTGCTCACTGGGGAGGCACATGCCATACAAGAGCCATTGCCATCCACAAAAGATAACGCCAGGCTAAGTGGATCATTAGTCTGGCTCGGTATAAGGCAGCTTCATATAAATTTAAAATGCTGAATGGTTGAAGCACAGGAGAACTAAGAAGTACATAAGGATTTTGACCGACAGCTGTGGTGTGTTCCTTTTCAGATTTTACTTTGTAAGATGCATTTTGAACTTGCAGGTGCAAAATGGGGACCAGAGCTCTACAAAGGATTAGTTTTTGTTGCCTTAAAACCTCTCAGATGACACAAAATGAAATAATAGAACACTGGACATGCAATGTCTGGGCTGCAGATCATAGCAGATCCCTGCTTTCATGAGTACAGCTTGGGGACACCTCTGAATACTATGGGCTGGATAAGAAAGACACTTGCATCCTTAAGTATGGATTCACATATGCATGTGGGAGATGATCGACTCCTATGTGGGACAATTTTTATTTGTCTATTTGCAAGTTGAGATGAAAATGCCAATGAGATTACCATTTTACAAGATGAATAGGAAACTCTAAAGACTATAAAATGGACCAAAAGAATTGCATTTAATTTCTTTGGGGGAAAATTGCATTTAGTCCCTAGCATTTCAACTTACAGGAAAATCCTAGACTTTCAACAAGATCCACTCTTCCTTCCTTCTTTTCTCACTCCAAATTCCTAGGCTAAAGATTACTTACCAACGCTAGAGAAATAATTTAAGTAGGTGTGCCATGGAGCAGTCTAACACATCTTTGTACACTGTCAAACTAAAGTATAGCTGTGTAACTGGTGAAAAGGGACAAAATCAAACTAAGATGAATGAGGCTGTATAATTATATGCCTTTCGCCTAGAAAAACCTACACAAAGAGTCACCTAGTCCCTTTGTTGCAGCGGAGGTCTCTGCTGGGTCAATGACAACACTATGCACCTAGCCTTTTAGGTTTTCTTTAAAAAAACCAAACATTGATTCCAGATTCTGGGCACTCTCTGAAAAAAAAAGAACCACCTTCCAAGTGATGAGGTGCTTACCCCAATTAAAAAAAGAACTTCACAGCTGTCAATATTACATACCCGATTCAGCACTCCTGCAACAGACCTTCAGACAGGTCTGATGGCTTTTTAAATACTAATCAGTCTCTGCACTTCCTCCCCCCTCTACTGCTCTCCCTAACCACTTAATATCCTTTCAGAGAATGAAACCACAAACTGGATGAGCCCAGCAAGTTTTTCATGCCATCAAGTCAAACGAAAAAAAAAAAAAAAAAAAAAGAAGAGAGGGAGAAAGAAAGTGAGTTTTGCAGCATAAAGCACTGCATCTTAATTATTTCTGTTTCAACCTCACAATGCCCATTTCTCTCTCTCCTATCAAATAGGAATTCTGTTAATGAGTTTTTTAGGAGGCCATATTGATACTCTTAGAGGGTAACCTCCCTTGTAAAAAAAAGTGTTTGCCTAAACCAAGCCCCTGCTGATTTAAAAACAACAGCTTTACCTGGGCATCGCACATACACCAAACCCACAATTTTGTACTTTTTTTTGTAAAATTGTGCTTTTTTGTGGGCTTTTGGAGGAGACTAGACTTTGTGGGTGAGAGTCTGTCATCTTCCCGATTTCCACTTTTAGGGTGCTGCCCAAAATGATTCTGAATCCGCCACCTGGCAAAAAACAATAGTTGAGAAATCCAGAGATGTCTCGGCAAAGTTGGTTTCCCTCCGCTACTGAATGAGACCCTCATTTCAGTAAGCAGCTGAACGCTTTGCTGCCAGCCTGCCCCCACCCCCCACCCCCAACCGAGGAAGCTCTGCTGTAGGACAAAACTGGAGCACACTAACCAAGGGAAGGAATCTGAAAAATGCTATCACATTTTAAGTACACGGCAGCCATGTTCCCCCGGCCAGCTTACCACCATGCGTGGTCACATTAACAGGCAAGCAAGTGGCATACATCTGTCAAGCCCTACTGAGTTGTTTTATTGTCCTGCCTACCTCTCTGCTTGATGCTGACAGTGACCTTTATTTCTCTCTGTAATAAAGCAGGTAATATTTCAAAGGGTCAGGCAGAGGCAGGCTCAAGACCTTCTCTCTCAGGACATTTATAGGAGGCTCGGGCTTCAGTTCAGGGACAGCTTTTTCCACCTCTTCCAACTTGCTCTCCTCCTCCTCCAACTCCTCGCAATTGTTATCGTCGGAGGGGTTGGAGATCCGGCTGGCAAAGACCTCTTTGTCCAAGAAGACGATGGTCTCCATGCGGCGGCGGCGGATGCGCCTTCGCTTAAACCTCGGCGGGTTCCTGAGGCCGTTGCCGTTTCTGCCCGCCGTTTCCTGGTGAATCAGCTTCTTAATGGTGCTGCGGATAGCAATGCGTGCAAGGTCCTGAAGCGTGCGGACCATCACTGGTGCTGGAAATGTGAGAGAGGGAAGAGTAAGAAGCGTAGGACCTTGGCTGGCATGGACTAAAGAGCAGGCACACTTCCTCAGATCATGGCTCTTTCCATATGAACCTACCTGGACCCTGAGATCACCATTTGAGGCCCTTCTGTGTGTGCCTCCTCCTTGAAAGGTTCGGAGGATGGCAACAAGAGAACGGGCCTTCTCTCTTTTTTTTTAAATGATATTTATTAAAGTTTAACAATTACAGAAAAAAGAAAAACAAACAATAAAAAGTTACAATACTTCAAAAATAAAAAATACAATAAAAAACAACAATACAACAGAACAATAAGAAAGAAAAACAAAAACATTTAAAAACAAAATCATTTAAAAAAGAAAAAAAAAACCCCATCCAGTATTTTCATATCTCTATCTTTCATTTACTTATTTCCTTGACTTCCTCACAGCTCCCTTTTTTGTATTCTAATTCAATTAGTTATTTCAGCAAGTCCTTTCCCTCTTTCTCAGATTTTGTTCCATAATTTATCTTAACACAATTTAACCTTAGATTTTACACCTTGACCCGTAGGTAATCTATTCTTACTTAATTCTTTGTAACATTTCTGCTAAGGTTCTTTATAACCTTCTCTGTAGAAGCTCCCCTTTTGTGGAATGCTCTCCCCAGGGAAGTTCGCCTGGCGCCTTCATTATACACCATTAGGCACCAGGCAAAAACCAGGCGTTTGGTTGATCCGATTCACATCCTATGCCCTTTTAAAATGTGGGTTTTTTTGTGGCAGAGGGGCTATTGGCTTGTTGTTTCTATTTTTATTAGGTATTTTGTGGTTTAATATCTTGATTTTATTCTGTGAACCACCCTGAGACCACCGGATATAGGGTGGTACAGTGGTACCTCGGGTTAAGTACTTAATTCGTTCCGGAGGTCCATTCTTAACCTGAAACTGTTCTTAACCTGAAGCACCACTTTAGCTAATGGGGCCTCCTGCTGCCGCTGGAGCACGATTTTTGTTCTTATCCTGAAGCAAAGGTCTTAACCTGAAGCACTATTTCTGGGTTAGCGGAGTGTGTAACCTGAAGCGTATGTAACCTGAAGCGTATGTAACCCGAGGTACCACTGTATATAAATAATAATAATAATAATAATAATAATAATAATGAATGATGATGATGGCTGGAAGAAACTTACAGTTCAGGAGAGAACAGCAGCTTTGCCACAGATTTTGCCAGCAAAGCCGGCAGCTGGCTAATCTGTGCCATTCTCAAAGTGGGGCAGGTCACCACACAAGTTGCTGTGTAACTGGTGCCTCCATGCTAGCCAATGCAGTGATGATATCACCAGCATGAGCACACACAGGCAGAACTGAATGCTGGGTGAGTCCTGTTTCCATGGTGAGAAAGTGCACAGCCTAGGGCAAGTCAGACTGCAAGCTATGGCAAAGAGTGCCCACCTCTGAGGAATGTCTCTCTGAGCCTTGCACAGCCCAACCCAACAAATAAACAGACAAATAGAGAAGGCGCATAGATAAGTGGCACACTTACGCAAGTGAACAAGTTTTGACTTCCCTGAATCTGCGTGGTTGGGCTGGATCAGAGGAGCAAAGGAAACAGCTAAGATCTTCTTCGTCTCCCAGGCCAAAGGGCCAGTTCGTGTTATCTTTGTCAGCTGTGTTTGAGAACAAAAACATAAGATGAATCACCTCTTGATAGCAAGAATAGATGGCCTATTTCTCAGCCTTGAAAATGAACCCTCTCCCCTTTCTGCCACACAGCTGGTAATTTGGTGAATTGAGCTCACTGCAAAAAGCAAGGGGTAAATGGTACATAGGAATGAGAGGACCTGCCGTCCCACAAGCAAACCTTTTCTTCCAATGGCATCACGAGGATCCCACCAACTTTCAGTAAGTTCTTCATGTAATCTTCATGCTCCTTCTGGACTCCCGCACCACAGTAGACACGGTCATATTGAGAGCAGTCTGGAGAGATCTCCAAGCAGTTGCCGGTGACAAAGGAAGGCTCGCAGAATTCAAACCTGAGAAGTGAGTGACGCTTGTAGATGGCACAAGTATTTCACAGGCTGGAGCTTCTAAGCCCCCATATATTAAAACATCAATCCTTTAATATTGAGGCAAGCAAAGTATATGGCCAATACATTCCAGAACTGCAAACTTTGCCATTTAGGAAAACTGTTATGGCTTCTCCCACGGAAAGTTGGCAAACACAGTTTCCTAAGGTAGCTGGGGCTGAAATATACAGCTGGAGCTTCTTATACAGTTGGTCTATCAAAACCAGTATTTTAAAAAACTCCAACACTACATTGTAATACAAAAAGGGGCAAGATACCAAGGCTACCAGTTTACCTATGGACCTAACCCAAACAAAAACGTCCAACCTTGCCACCCATAGTGCTGCATCCTCTATGTGGGCTACAAGCCAGCCCCCCATGCCTTCCACCACTGTCCCCGGTCCCTTCCCAGCTCCCTTGCTCCCAATCAACTACCTCCAGAACGTCCTGACGATGGACCTCTCTCCACGATGCTCTGAGACGACTGAATGGCCAGTAGCCTCCTTACCTGGTCTTTGCTCCGCCCCCAGGCCACCGTCGATTCGCTGATTTAAACCAAGGCCAGGCAGGAGCACTGCAGCCTCTGCAGCCAGCCCAGGGATGGAGCAATGGCAGGCTTTTATGGGCCCCGTGCTGGGTTGCAAAAACCACCCACCAACGCGACTGTGAGCCGTCATTGTCTACTATTGGCAGCACCTCTCCAGAGTCTCAGGCTGAACTCTTTCCCAGCCATATAAGTTAATTTTAACTGGAGATGCCAGAGACAGAACCTATACCTCTTGTGTACAAAGCAAGTGCTCTGCCACTGGGTTATGGCTCCTTCCTGCCTTCTCCCAGAAGTACATTTTCCTTGGGGGTGGGGCGTCCAGCAGTAAAAGCATGTTTGGTTTGCAGCGTGGTGTATATCCCTCCTTCTTGCCCAGTGAAACCACAATCTCAATTTCCCAATGGAAAAGCAAGTTTTGGGTTGTATGAAAAACAATTCATTTCTTTAGGCAAGCTTGCCCTGACGTGTAATTTTTATTCTGTATATTTGTTTTTTGAAAATGCTTGGTAAACATTGTCATATGACATTACAGAGCTTATTATATTTGTAATGTAATAGAAGAATGTTAATAAATAAATAAAACTGGGGAATAAAAGAAAAAGAAAATGCTGGCTTTATCTATACTTTGATAATTTAATTATGTCTACTGTTTTAAAATCTGTTTTTAAAGCTATTTTTAATCAATATTTTATACTACGTTATGTAAACCACTTAGAGATTTGATTAAAATCTTAATTTTAATATTGATAAATAAATAAAAACTTCACCCACTGCATTGTTTTATCTCAGAAGCCTTTTCAAAAACTGCATTCCTTTGTAATGTACCATAAAGAACCTGAATAAAATTTCTAGAGTGAACCCAACTAATTGCTTTTGTTTCTAAGCTCAGGCATGTATCAGGTATGTAAAATCCACAAGAGTGGAAGACAGAACTGTTCTCGATTTCTTTCTGCGTCCTAGCACCTAATATTGCATATGCAAGACACCCATATGCATCTTGAACTCACCGTATGCTGCTAACTAGGAGTTACCACCTAGATTGCTACAATCTGTTCTGGAAGCCAGTTTAAATGCAAATTAGGCATGTCCAATCTTACTTGTCAAAGCTGTCACTGGTTCTGATGAAGAAGTCCAGCTTCTGCTTTGCATATTCTATAACGTCAGAGTGAAGCTCTACGCCATGGTTAACGCCGAAAGGGCCTGCATATGTTGAGGGAATGCAAGGGGAAAAAACATTTGAAAAACAACTGGATGGAGAACCAGAATGAATCCAAAAAGCTTTGCTCAGATTACGAGCTCGTTTTGATCTTCTCTTAAGGCGCAAATACTAAGCAAATTCCTCAAAACTTGAGAGCTGGTTACTAGCATAAACCACCCAACCTGCAGAACTGAATGGCTACAAAATGAATCCCACATCTCAGTAAAAGTACAGTGGTACCTTGGGTTAAGTACTTAATTCGTTCCGGAGGTCCGTTATTAACCTGAAACTGTTCTTAACCTGAAGCACCACTTTAGCTAATGGAGCCTCCTGCTGCTGCCGCGCCGCCGGAGCACAATTTCTGTTCTCATCCTGAAGCAAAGTTCTTAACCTAAAGCACTATTTCTGGGTTAGCAGAGTCTGTAACCTGAAGCATCTGTAACCTGAAGCGTATGTAACCCGAGGTACCACTGTAACAGGCAGGGAGGAACAGGAGAGGATGCCAGTGAGAGGAAAATCACCAAGGGAGCATGAGAAAGTACATCTGAAAGATGTGGAAGTTTGGGTTTGGCCAATCCAACACCTGGCGTGCTCTGGTCCATGGGGTCATGAAGAGTTGGACACAACTAAATGACTAAACAACAACAACAACAATCCAACACCTGGCTCTTACATGGCTTTTTTTTGTAAGCTTACTTTATTTTCAAGTTATTAGCAAAGCATATTTAAAAACTTGGAGAAATGCATTCGGAGACTTCTGTTAAGATGCTTATGGATGGTATATTTAGTGAAAGTTACCTTTCCATACAATTAATGGGCTCAAAGGTAGTCCTCCCAAGAGCTTCTGTTTACCTGCCCTCCGTTTCTCCAGAGGAAACAAATCTCTCCCATTTCTCTAGACCAGAAGGTCATTTACACCAACATATTTTGACCCAACTAAGCAAGAATCTCCTCCAGTGGGTTTTGCATTTACTTCCATTCTTAGAGCTTTATAACACCATTAGAGAAGGCTTTTCTCTAAGGGTGGGGGGGAGGCAAATGACAAGCTGCCAACCACCCATTCCTGGTTTTATTTACTGCTGTGCTACAATATGAAGTGGAGCATGAAAAATGAGTGAAGCACAGCAACAGTTGATGGGGATTTCAAGGGCAGGGGACCACAGCTGTTTTCTCTGAGCAAGGGAGTAAAGCATCAAGTTTAGGAGAGTCGGCTCAAGAATGCAAAACCCAGATTTTTCTCTGCTCATTGAAATTTCACAATATTTTGCATCTGCAGGATCGCTCTGGAGCAGTTTCCATGGCATATGTGTGTGAAAACGTTTTGCCCAAGTGCACCATCCAACTGATGACCCTGGAAGCAGAGTACGGGGCCAGCAATGAGGCACGCTGCATGGATGATCTGGTTAGGCAAACATTTTCACATCTATGCACCCTGGGAACTGCTCCAGGGTCCATCTTCAGAATCTAAAAGAATGGTGCTTAAGCCCTTCTAGATACATCCATGCCATTCAGCAGTTACACTGAAAGCTAAAAAACAAAAACAAGCACTAATTTTGAACTCCAGAAAATAACTGGCACAGTTGCAGCTTGCCCCAATTGTTTATTGCTGATGACTCCCTTCTATAAGCTATTATTGCTGCTGAAAAACGAAAGGGTGGGTGGGATGGGATGGAGAGAGGAAGAGAGCACACACAGTCGTATTTAGGAACAAACTTCAACAGAAAATGCAGTGCAGCAATTAGTGTGGGGCTTAACGAGTGAGACCACCTGGATTCAAATAGCTGGTCAGTCATAAAAGGATAGTTAAACACTCTCAGCATAATCTACCCCACAGGGTTGTTGTGAAGTTATAGGGGAGGCAGCATGTGTGCAACGCTTGGCTTCTTGGAGGAAGGATGCATTAAAAATGAAAATAAATAAAATGTTGTAATTTAAAAAAGGAACTTGTTGAACGCAGGTTATTCTTATTGGGAAAGGGAGAGGAGAAGGGTGCTCTCAAAGACTCAGCTTCCGGTTAAAAGGCTGTTTATTCTTTCATTACTTGTTAACTGTTCCATTTTTAATGATTTCAAAGTGTGTTGTAAGCCACCCTGGCATTTTTTTAAAGCTGAAAGGCTGGGTAAAGATGCTCTAAATAAATAATAAATGTGCAGCAAGGTGCTCAGGCTGTTCCTGAACACACGCATACACACACAATTTGGAAAGCCAGGCAACCACCTGTGCTTGGGCTGGATGTGGTTCTTTTTCAAACTTTATGGGTTATTATGTGTAGTAGTGAAGAACAGGTAGCCCTCCTAGGCACATAACCAACTCTGGTCCTAGAGAGATGCACTGTTCCAAACCAGACACCATGGGGCCACTTGGCACATCATTTGATGTGCAAGATGATTTACTCACCATCTTCTGTCTGAAGTGACCCCACAGAAGAGCAGAATATGGAGTCATGAAGATGGGAGAGATCTTAAGAGGTTTGAGCATATTACACTGATCCTGGTCCGACTGCACTGGCTACCCATTAGTTACCGGGCCCAATTCAAAGTGTTGGTTTTGACCTATAAAGCCTTAAATGGCTCAGGACCACCATACCTCAAGGACTGCCTCTTTCCAAATGTACCTACCCGGACCCTGAGATCATCTTCTGAGGCCCTCCTTCGTGTGTCCCTTCCTCGAGAGGTCTGGAGGGTGGCAACACGAGAACAGGGCCTTCTCTGCAGTGGCTCCCTGTCTGTGGAATACTCTCCCTAGGGACGTTCGCCTGGCACCTTCATTATACCCCTTTAGGCGTCAGGCAAAAACATTTCTTTTAAACTAGGTCTTGGGTTGATCTGATTTGCATCCTATGCCCTTTTAAAATGTGTTTTTGTTTTGTGGGGAGGGGCTATTGGGTTGGGGTTTTTTTATGTACTTTGTGGTTTTATATCTTGATTTTATTCTGTGAACCGCCCTGAGTATAGGGCAGTACATAAATTAACTAACTAACTAACCAGTTAGTTAGTGTGAGAGCCAGTGTGGTGTAGTGGTTAAGAGCGGTGGATCCGTAATCTGGTGAACCGGGTTCACGTCCCCGCTCCTCCACATGCAGCTGCTGGGTGACCTTGGGCCAGTCACACTTCTCTGAAGTCTCTCAGCCTCACTCACCTCACAGAGTGTTTGTTGTGGGGGAGATTGTTAGCCGCTTTGAGACTCCTTCGGGTAGTGATAAAGTGGGATATCAAATCCAAACTCTTCTTCTTCTAACTAACTAACTAACTAACTAACTAACTAACTAACTAACTAAAAACAACAACTATCCAAACCATAGCTGTCAACTTTTGCCTTTTCTTGCGAGGAATCCTATTCGGAATAAGGGAATTTCCCTTTAAAAAAGGGGAAAAGTTGACAGCTATATCCAAACCCCTTGCTCAATGCTGGAAGCAACTACAGCATCTCAGATACAGTGGTGCCTCGCAAGACGAAATTAATTCGTTCCGCAAGTTTTTTCTTCTTGCGAGTTTTTCGTCTTGTGAAGCACGGTTTCCCATAGGAATGCATTGAAAATCAATTAATGCGTTCCTAGGGAAACCGCTTGCCAGGCTGGCGGTGCGGAGAAGGGCTTTTCTCCCCACCGCAAGCCTTCAGGACAGGTACGGGAACAGAGGGGAAGGCGCGCAGCGCTTTCCCTCTGTTCCCGGGGCTTGCGTGGGAGGAGGGTTTTTCCTCCCCACCGCCAACATTCAGAACAGCATTCTGAATGTTGGCGGTGGGAAGGAAAACCCTCCTCCCACCCCAAGTCTTCAGGAAAGCCATCCGAAGCCGGGCGGCGGGAGGAGGTGTTCCCGCCCCGCCGCCCGGCTTCGGAGCTTCGTTCCGAAGCCGGGCGGCGGGAGGAGGTCCGAGGACAGTGGGGAAGACGCGCTGCGCTTCCCCGCTGTCCCGGAGATTTCCCTATGGGCTTTCGTCTTGCGAAGCAAGCCCATAGGGAAATTCGTTTTGCGAAGCGCCTCCAAAACGGAAGACCCTTTCGTCTAGCGGGTTTTCCGTCTTGCGAGGCGTTCGTCTTGCGGGGTACCACTGTAGATGGCTGTTCGGTCTTGGCCGAGAGTCGAGCCTGTCCTGAAGCACCCTGTCCCACTGTCAAATAGCTCTACTGAAACTTGCCACCTTGCAATCTCCACTCCGTAGGTTGTCCTGCCCTCTTAGAGCAACAGAGGACAAGCCTGCACTACCTTCTGCAAGACAGGACAGCCTTTCAGATATTTGAAGACCACTACAGTAGATCCTCGGGTTAAATTACTCTTGAGTAACGTAAACTTCAGGTTGCGAAAGCGGCAAACCCGAAAGTATTTTTCCAGGTTTCGCCACTCACACAGAAGTGCTCTGCACGTCACGCACATATGCAGAAGCGCATGCGCAGAATCACTCTATCACACCGCACACAGAAGCGGCACCTCTGTATACAGATTTTTCGGGGTGTGCACGGACCCCCGGAACGAATTAAATTCGTATCCAGAGGGTCCACTGTATTATGTTTGTTCTTAATCTTCTCCTCAAAACATGCCCACAGGTTAAACGCGCCCACTGTACTGTCAGTGATAAGAATATGTGTTGACCCCACACAGTAAGAAACTAGAGTTGCAGGGATCATTTAGCTGATCAAAAGAGTCACTTACCCAAGATGAGCCCAACCATGGAGCTCAGATAGCCAGTGCCGCTTCCCAGGTTCAAGAAGGAAAGCCCAGGCTGCAGATCCAGGGCTTCCATGACCTCCGAATAAATGCAGGGAGCAGAAAGGTGGATGTTCCCATGCTTCCATGCCAAGTCTTTGTACGCATTGTCCTTAAACTCCTCCAGGTAGTAGTCTGCCCGGTCGACAGCCCTGAAGGCCTGCTCCACGAGCTCTGTCCGGATGTACTGAGCCTCTTTCAGGTTATCAATTAGCTCGTCATTGTCCTCTCCTGCGCTCACAGCACCTCCCATTGTCCACGCTAACAAATTCAAAAACCAATTCTGGAGAGCAGAGGAGGGAAAAAGGAGAAAGTCACTGCACCAGTCAAAGAAAACTGCTCAAGTACAAAAGTCCAGGTGATGCTAAGTGCACTGTAGAGCATATCCTGCATGTCAAAAGACACAGAACCAAAATCACTTTCACATATACAAACATCACCAGTTACTGCTCTCCTTTTTTCTCTGGGGGATTTCAAATACATATGCATATTTATTAGTGCAGAAAAAACCTTTGATATGATACACCCGTGACCCTTCTGGACACTTTTTATTGTGTTGTCAGCTGTTCTGGGAAGTTGCTTCTGGTTATGGAAACATCATGGATTCTGGATAGTTCTATATTGCATTCCCCACACCGAAGCATATTCTGCCTTTTGCCAACATTTGGAGCAGAAAAGCACTAATACTGCATGGAGGAACTTTGAACATTTCTTAGAAGAGGAGGATTGGTGAGACCTCAAGCCTCTGTATCATAACAGGTTTGGTCTCACATTTCTTAAGGCTTCTTGAGGCTACTTCCCAACCTCATGCTGCACGGATGGAGAATCTGTGGCCCTCCAGAGGTTGTCCGGAGACACTTCCGGGTCACGTGGCCAGCGTGACATCGCTGCTCTGGCGAGCCAGAGCCGCACACGGAAACGCCGTTTACCTTCCCGCTAGTAAGCGGTCCCTATTTATCTACTTGCACCCGGAGGTGCTTTCGAACTGCTAGGTTGGCAGGCGCTGGGACCGAGCAACGGGAGCGCACCCCGCCGCGGGGATTCAAACCGCCGACCTTTCAATCAGCAAGCCCTAGGCGCTGAGGCTTTTACCCACAGCGCCACCCGCGTCCCAAGACTCTATGTAGACCTACACAAATGCCTGCTTTACAGAGAAAATACAGCCTTTTGTATTAATGTGCATAAGGGAAGAAGAAGAAGATGGAAGGGCAAATGTCTGCCTTAGTGTGGCCAGCTGGCCAATTAGAAAATAGCAATTTGACCTAAAAGCTAAAATAGAAATAGTCAAAAATCCTCCTAGGTGAGCCTGGCATGCCCTTAAAGTAGTACCTTGGCTCCCAGCCTTATAATCAACTGAGGCTGTAGCTCTAGTTATAAACAAAATATACCAGAGGGATGGCAAACAGACTCAAACCAAAACCTTACTGTTAAGGCAAATGTACAAACACCACACCAACACCCAGAGGTGAATGGTAGTGGGGTTAGAGAGCAATTTGGAGATCATTGCAGCGATCTGTACCACAATATAATATGCAACCATCTTTGAACAATACCAGCCCTTTTTAAAAGAACCGGTTCTAATGGGAAATAACTTAATCTGCAACGCCAAAGCTGTCTCATTTTTCTCTACAGACAGCTAACATTTCATACTGGAAGAGCACAACATGAATTTTTATTTACAGTGCTTTTTCTGGCAAGAACTGCAGAAGCGGCAAATTCAGCGTTTGTTCCTGCTTTAGAAGGTTCTGCCTCAGCTTCATTGTTCCATGTATTCAGCAGAAACAACGTTTCAACCGTGCACATCAAAAACTTAGGAACAGCACCAGAAGGTACTGCAAAATCTAACCAAGGCACAGGAGACTATGATCATCCTTGCAGAAATCTTGAGCATCTTTGAAACAATTCTCATCAGCAATGCTCAGGCTCATTACCACAAAAGTAAACCAGACTTTGCACACATTGAGTTTAAAATTTATGCACAATGCATTCCTCCGTTTGTATATGCCTGCTTATCTGCATGTTTTGACTATAAACTGCATATTTGACTGTGCTCAGAATTTGACACCGAGACAGTGTAATCTCTTTAGCACAGATACCCTTTGGGCAATAGAGGAGTTAAGGCAGCAACAGGATAGAAGTATTCCATGAGACCTATTTGATTCAGGGATGACCATCAAGTGGCCCACCCCCACCTATGCCCCTGTAGTAGCTAAATTTGTAACTTTAAGCCCCATACAAGCTCCTCCTGGTTGCCTTTAGAGGTGTAAGTGCCCAGGGCCTGATGTCTTTCTCCTACTTTCCGGAAAGGCTCAGTGCCAGGATGAGATTTCAGCCTCTGCTAACTATGTATATGTTGACAAAGAGGTAAAAGGGATGATAATTTGGCCATTTGCTTCTGCATTCTTCCCCAGACTGGCCTTCTGAGCAATCTAGTTGTTGATTAACTGGTCCTATCAGCAGATACCTGAAGAACCAAGAGGGCATCCAGCACAAGAAGCCTCTGCTGCATCTAGTCCAGAGTTGTATTTTCCAGTGGCCAGCCAGACTGATGTTGCTGGGAAACCCAAAAGCAGGGCATGAAGATATTAACTCTCTCCTTTACCCCCAGTAACTGGTATTCAATTCATATTGTTTTTAACACTTGATTGGAAGCTGCCCAGAGTGGCTGGGGAAACTCAGCCAGATGGGCGGGGTATGCATGTATGTATGTATGTATGTATGTATGAATAAATAAATAAATAAATAAATAATAAAATATGATGACATATGAACCCTACAGGCATGTCAGCGTATTGGTGGCAGTCAAATCCTTCAAAAAACTTACTTTTTCCTCAACAGAAACACAGCCCAAAGACTTTGCTTATATTTCGGTAGAGCTCCCCTACCTTCATTTGTCTTCCTGTTGAAATTAATTTGTAAGTTCTTTGGGGCAAGGGCCTGTCTTGTTCTTTCCGGCATTGGCCTGTGTTGCTCGGTAAAGCACCAGGCACAATAATTGTGCAGTACAGTGGCACCTCTGGATGCGAACAGGATCCGTTCCAGAGCCCCGTTTGCATCCTGAAGCGAACATAACACGCGAGTGCGCGTCTGTGCATGTCGCGTTTTGCTGCTTCTGCGAATGATGTCATTTTGAGCAACTGTGCATGCGGTGAAACCCGGAAGTAACACTTTCCGTTACTTCCGGGTCGCGCAACCCAAAAATGATTAATCTGAAGCGTATTCATCCCGAGGTATGACTGTATAAATTAAGGTGGTAACATACAATCCTCACATTATCAAAATGTGTACCTCCAGCTGTGAGAGGACTAACTGTTGCTTTCTAGAAAAGAGAAACCTAACGGAGAGTCTAGGAATTCCTATTCAGTGTGAAGTATCTGGCTGCAGAAAATATTCCAGGCATGGAGAGCTAACCTCCCAACAGCATCCCAAGGGTGATTTAAGTTTGAATGCACCTCCTTCCAGCTTTCTCCTTCTGACCTTTAATACAACTTAGGCCTTACTTTACATACACCCACAATAGAAGAGGCTTAACCTCTCCCCCCATTTGCTTTCCATTCTTCTCAAAGCAACATGATCACAAAGTCAAAAAGCACCCCAACACAAGGCAGCTGCCATCTGACCTGGCTGCAGTCCAGTCACAGGGCTATTAGCATGCCTCTGCATGCTCTGTTCTGCCACTACGAGAGAGAATTGGTTTGCGGCCAACCCAGGGCACACTTGCTGAAAACAGAGTCTCCTGTCCACGTTGCCCTAACACAGAGGAACTCTGTAGCACAGGGAGAGAGGGTGGTGGGTGGTAACGAATAGTCTTCCCACAACACAGAGCAATGCTCCTTTTGCAGCCAAGACCTGCTGCAGACACCCTGGATTCAAAATGCATTAGAGCCATTTGCGTATTCCATTTGTTTTATGGCACTAGAATTACAGCCGCTGGCAGCTGCCCCGTGCCTCGTGCGTAGATACGGAACCAAAACACTGTTGTGTGGACTAAAGGCCAGGATGCTGAATGGTACAAATAATTAGATGGAGTTACAGAACTTTGCACGTGTGTCTGGATACTCACTGGATGCCACCTGGAAAAATGAAATACTTTTATGATCAAAGCTCACATCTCAAAGCCAATAGCAACATTTTCAGTAAACCAGGACGAACCTCCATAGTTGATTCTAGAAATGGTGACAGATAAGGCCATATCATAATGGGTGAAAGAGGGAAATTTGCATTTACTGATAAACTTCTACAGCAGCTCTCATTGCAACAGTTAACTAAGAGTCCCTAGGACTAAAGCAGGACACAATGCTTATACCATCAGTGATATTGGAGGTAATCTGCGGGGGAATACTGTTTCACTTCGTAAATTTATGGCTCTAGCCAAAGGCCATGACAAACTTGTATTAAGCAATAGTAATAATAAACAGAATACATTCATAATATAAAAATCTGCAAACACTCTTCCAAGTTCCTGATCATTAAAACACATTTTCCCTTGTGAACCTCTGACAACTCCAATTCTAGTATTATTTTGCTTTTTTAAAATCCAATTTGCCAGCATCCATTATGTAAGGGGGAGAAGTTACCAGAGACACCAACAAACTCAAATCCAGCTTGATTTCAGATCTAACCTCCAAATCATCACATAAATTTATAGTGACCCCTTTTTGCTGAATTATTTTTTTTTTCTGCGGCCAGAGCATAGAGGATCACTATTTGTTATGAAGCTGTTACTGTCACTCAAAAGAAAGCAAACCATTTCTGTCAAGGTGTGTGACTGCTTGCTTGTGGGACCAAAGGTTTTAGAAATAAATCTCTTGGATCACTATATAAGGGACAGGCTAAAAGATAATGAGTGATGTCTTCCACCTGAGACTGACTATAAATACAAAGTCTGTCTGCATATGGAACCTTGTTGTAGAGACTATCCAAGACTGCAGAGGGCATCACTTGGAAACGCAGCCCAATATAAGCATTTCTTAAGGAAACTGGTGAAAGTTTGGTTAGATAATTAGCTCAAAATGCTCTGTTCTCAGGAACAGATACCAAGGAGGAAATACGGTGTCTCTAAATAGTTGCAGGTCCCTTCTAGATTCTATCCAGGAGAGCAAATCCCTTAGCTGACACTTATTCAAGGTCAAAGCAGAGCTCAGCTCTGGTAAATAATAACAGTCTAAAACATGTAGACAAGCTGCTTTCCAGGGTTTGTTATCACCCAACTCAATAAAGCACAGTGCAGGGAAAAGCTCAATAGACATAATAGCAATTTTAAAAATATGCTTTAACTGAGTGTAGTCCGCTCTTGCCTTTAATTGTTGACCACCTGGATTCTGAAGGCAGCTCTGTTTAGGGAAGCTTTTAATGTTTGACGGACTACTGTATTTTAATATTTTGTTGGAAGCCGCCCAGAGTGGCTGGGGAAACCCAGCCAGATAGGCGGGGTATAAATTATTATTATTATTATTATTATTATTATTATTATTATTATTATTATTATTATTATTCTGTACGAGGAAGCACTGCTGAAATTCCCGAGTATAGCTTTTGAAAAACATTATTCTGCAGTTTCCAAAACTTTAATGGAGTTCAAATCAGAGCCCCAGATTTCAATGCCATAGTAAGCATTTCTCTATCAAGTATCTTCGGGGCAGGTTCAATCAGTCCTTTATTGTAAAAGAACTTCATCTGCATTGTCAGAAGCAGGTGGGGGGGGGAGGAGGAGTGAAATTTTAGAGCGGGGTGGGAAACCTATGGCTTTCAAGATGTGCTGCACTACAACTCCCATTGTCTCTGAACAGTGGTTATACTGGGTTGTGCTGATGAGAAATGGGAGGGCAATAATAGCTAGAGGGCCATCCCTGTTTTCGACCCGAATGCCCCTGAGATGGTGTGGTAACATTAGGTGGTCTTATTATCAAAAGGAGTAGGGGGGCTGGCTGCATCATCCCACTGTCATAAGGCTAGGGAGAAGTAGTGAGAAAGATTGAGGGACTGCACCCATTGCTCTGGAGGCTTGGGCTGGAAATACAAAGAACTAATAATATGGTAACCCATTCTCACAAGAGAGAGTTTACCAAGGACACATTCAGGAGGAAACCATTTAAGTGTGCTGTACAGTGGTGCCCCGCAAGACGAATGCCTCGCAAGACGAAAAACCTGCTAGACGAAAGGGTTTTCCGTTTTTCGATGTGCTTCGCAAGACGATTTTCCCTATGGGCTTGTTTCGCAAGACGGAAACGTCTTGCGAGTCTTTCGATTTTTTTCGCTTTCCCCCCTTTTTCTAAGCCGCTAATAGCCTTTTAGCCGCTAAGCCGCTAAGCCGCTAAGCCTTTAATAGCTGCTAAGCCGCTAATAGCCTTTTAGCCGCTAAGCCGCTAAGCCTTTAATAGCCGCTAAGCCGCTAATAGGGTTGCTTCGCAAGACGAAAAAACCGCTAGACGAAGAGACTCGCAGAACGGATTATTTTCGTCTTGCGAGGCACCACTGTATGTGGAAAGAGCTTCATAAGCAAAGAACCTACATAGGGGAGAAACCATTTAAATGTATAGAGTTTCAGAGGAACTTTTGTGGGAGTGGTAACCTTACTCAGCATTGAAAAACACAGATAGGAGAATTTGCCTGAATGCAAACAGTTGTTGTGGTCCAAGGGGTGACTTTGGGTCACAGTCCCAGGAGAAAACTGCCTCTCAGCAGAACACTCACCCCAATGGGCTCCCCAGAGCAATACATTTTGAACCAGCATAGCTTGTCCTTGGCAGGATGCCCAGGAGAGGAGGAGTTTGCAGGCACTAGTGAGAGACTTGGGGAAGGTGAATAAGATCCACTGGCTCTCACACCTTCCATTGGTTGTCCTTACCTGTAGGCTTTTCCACTTCTGCAGCAGAGATCAGAAAAGTGCCAAGAGCCAGGTGGCTGCAGAGTGTATTGAGCCCTAATTTGTGTTATGTAGCAACTCTATAACTAGGCCTTTGGCTGATTAAGCAATCTATGGTCTTTTAAATGTTGTGGGTGGGGGTTATTGGTTGTTGTTATATGCATTTTGTGTTTTCATTTTGTATTTTTATGCTGTATACTGCCTTGTAATCTTTGAATGAAGGGTGGTTTATAAATTTAATTACTATTATTAATATTAATGCTTAGCTTCTATTAGAGATTGGAGAGGCTTGGGGTTGGGAGGAGAATTATCACAAAGCCATGGATGACAACAGCAAAATTTAAAAAATGTACCCATTACTCTGGAGAAAGTAATTTGGTTGGTATCCTTCTGTCTTGGGAGACAATAGAGGAATATGCCTTTGAGGCTGCTGGAAGGTTGCAGTGCCTGCTGTAACTTCAGAGACCAATATAAGAGAGACATGTTTTGTTGCAGCTGGGGCAGATGAACGCATCTAGTTGTGCTGCAGCAGCTGCACCACGCTTTTTCTTTTCTCTGTTCTTCCCAGTACAGTGGTGCCCCGCAAGAAGAATGCCTCGCAAGACGAAAAACTCGCTAGACGAAAGGGTTTTCTGTTTTTGAGTCGTTCCGCAAGACAAATTTCCCTATGGGCTTGCTTCGCAAGACGAAACGTCTTGCGAGTTCTTGCGAGTTTGTTTCCTTTTTCTTAAAGCCGCTAAGCCGTTAATAGCCACTAAGCCGCTAATAGCCGTTAAGCCGCTAATAGCCGTGCTTCGCAAGACGAAAAAACCGCAAGACGAAGAGACTCGCGGAACGGATTAATTTCGTCTTGCAAGGCACCACTGTAGTCATTTCTCCTCTGGTCATCACTACTGATACATGACTTGACTGCCTGTCTCCAGGCACTGCAGTGGCAGAGTGAAAACTAAGAGAGGGTGACCCACAAGTTTGTGTAGACGGTAGTGAAAAAGAACTGCGGGTTTATGCCCATTATCTTGGAAGTTGGGCTAGAAAGATACACATTATGGGGTCTCATTATAAGAGAGAGATAAAGAGCTGGCTTGTCCCATTACCAAGCTGGGAAGAATCAGGTACAGTGGTGCCTCGCAAGACGAAAAGAATCCGTTCCGTGATTCTTTTCTTCTAGCGGTTTTTTCGTCTTGCGAAGCAACCCCATTGCCGGCTAAGCGGATTAGCGCTATTAGCGATTTAGCGCTATTAGCGGCTTAGCGGGCTTAGCGGCTAAGCTGTTAAAAGGCTATTAACAGCTTAGCCGCTTTGAAAAAGGGGGAAAAAGCGGGGGGGGGAATGGCGAGACTCGCAAGACGTTTTCGTCTTGCGAAGCAAGCCCATTGGGAACTTCGTCTTGCGAAGCGCCTCCGCGATGGAAAACCCTTTCGTCTAGCGGGTTTTCCGTTTTGCGAGGCGTTCGTCTTGCGGGGCACCACTGTACTTTATGGTGGAGGTGGGGTCGATAAGGGAGGAAAGGAAGTTATGGGGTATTTTTATTATAAGAAAAGTGGGGAAAGAGGGAAAAAGGGCTGCCAGGCCCAGTGTATGGGGGAAGAGGGATTTTTAAAAGTGTAGTGAGAGGGAAAGAAGTTATGGAGTTCTAGCCTCAAGGTGGGGGGGGGGAGGAGAGAAGGAGTAGAAAGACCCCAGTCCCATGGCGGGTAAGCAAGATGTGTGGGGTGGGATTTTATAGCCTTTATTCTAATTACTTGGAGAAGGGAGAAAATGAACCAAAGCAGAGAAATTCTCAAGTGCTGTCATTTTGGCTGCAACACTCACCTCACTTATCAGGGAGTAATGAGTAAGCCCTACTAAATTCAGTAAAACTTACTTCTGAGTAGACATGGTTAGCATTGTGCTGTTGCTGTCTTAATAGCACCCTGTCTTTTACGGCAAGTCCTTGCAAGGTGCCTTAAAATAAATTTTAAAAAACTGACTACAGCAACAGCAGAAGCAAGCTGGAGTAAAAGCGGATATGTGAGGAGCTGTAGGCAGTGGCAGAATAGGGACCATTCAGAGTAAAGAGGCCAAACCACCAGCTAGCTCCAGCTCCGTGGGGCAGGTGGGGCAGGAGAAATACAGAGCAGCAGCCTTACGTAAACCCCACTGTGTCCAGTTGTGATTACTCTTAAGGTTAGCAGGCGTAGGGGTTGCAGCCTTGGTTTATACCAGTGGCTTCCCAAACTTTCTTCAGGCTGCCCTCCCTCTTCTCGGTGCCATGAAACCTAACCCTACCCTATTAAAAAAAAGAAAGATAAAGCATTATGCAGAACAGCCCTTTGCAGGACCCGCTAAGTCAAGCAAGCACGACAAAACCGGGGGAAAGAAACGGCAACAGTTAATTGCACGCCGATTCAAAACCCAATTAAAGCCACTTAAGTTTAATTTGGGCGAGGCTGCTGTACTTGACCCAGAGGTACAAGCCCTTTCAAAGCCTGCTAGTCTTTTTTGACACTTCCAGAGGAGGAGACCCCCCCCACCCCAGCCCAGCCCACCCCCTTAGGTCACCCCAAAGCCCCTACCCATGACCTTGGAATCTGGGGTGGGGGTGTGACTGGGGGGTGGTGGGGGGAGGAGGACGCGTGTCACCCCATAACAAAGTGCCTCTCTCCCCCCCTCCAAGAAGGAAGCCCTTTCTGGGCCCTGCACCACCATGGAGACAGGAGACTGGGGAGGAGGAGCCCCCCAACCTGGGCGGGGGGGGCGGGGCAAGCACCCCACTGGCTGTTGTGGTAAACAATCTGGGGGGGGAGGGAAAGGACCGGGGCCTTTTCTGCCAGGCGGGGGTGAGGCGGCCTTTGTCACGGGATTGGGGGGGTCCTATTATGACCTGGAGCCCCCCCCCAAGACTGACAGAAGGAAGGGGGGGAGGGGTCTCCTTGCCCCCTCAAGATTACCTGCTCCTCCAGCGCCAACTGCCGCCGCCGCCCCTCAGGCCTCCGCTCGCTTCCTCCGCACGCCGAGTTTCTCGCCCCCCCGCAGCTGTAAACAGTCGCCCAGCTGGAGAAACAGCCCCCCTCAGGGCAGCGGCGCCACTGCGCAGGCGCCAACGGCACGGGGCGGGCAGACAGAGCGACGCGCGACGCGGCGGACGGGGAGGGGAGGAGGGGTGGTGGGAGGGGAATGGTCCATTTGTGGATGGAGGGGACGCCCGCCGCGGCCTTTCGGAAAGGGGAGGGAAGTACCACTGGGTGCGGGGGAGAGGGGGGCGGCGCGGGCGACGGAAGGCGGCTGGTGATGACGAAGGACGGCGGCCTAGGCTCCCATGGAAGGGTTAATGGGGGGTGGGGAGCACTTTTAGGCCACCCGCCTTTCTAAAATGTTATCTGCCCTTATATTACTTGCCATGTATTTAATTGGTTTTTGTTCGTTTGTTTGTAGGTCTTTAAAATTGTGTGTTATTAGCTATTATTAAGGTGTTTGTTTTTTTTTTAAAAAAATGCATTACTAGGTTTTTTAAAATACTTATTTTATTATTAGGTTTTTAAAAAATATTTATTTGGTGTGTTTTTTAAAAATATATATAATTTATCATTGGGTTAAAAAATTATTATTAGGTGTTATATATATATATATATATATGCAGGTTTTGGTGTCCTCGGGTGTCTTCCCGTGTAAAAGTTGGGGTGTCTAGGCGACGTTTCGACGAGGTCTCACTCGTCATCTTCAGGCTGGTGCTTTCGGCTTCTTGTTACTGGAACAGAGCTCTGTTCCAGTAACAAGAAGCCGAAAGCACCAGCCTGAAGATGACGAGTGAGACCTCGTCGAAACGTCGCCTAGACACCCCAACTTTTACACGGGAAGACACCCGAGGACACCAAAACCTGCATTCCTGTACCCGTGAAAATCTACGAAAGCAAATATATATATATATATATATGGTTTTTTATCATTTGATTTTTTTAAAAAGTAAAAGGTAAAGGGACCCCTGACCGTTAGGTCCAGTCGTGGCTGACTCTGGGGTTGCAGCGCTCATCTCACTTTACTGGTCGAGGGAGCCAGCGCACAGCTTCCGGGTCATGTGGCCAGCATGACTAAGCCGCTTCTGGCGAACCAGAGCAGCACACGGAAACGTCGTTTACCTTCCCGCCGGAGCGGTACCTATTTATCTACTTGCACTTTGACGTGCTTTTGAACTGCTAGGTTGGCAGGAGCAGGGACTGAGCAATGGGAGCTCACCCCGTCGCGGGGATTCGATCCGCAGACCTTATGATCGGCAAGTCCTAGGCTCTGTGGTTTAACCCCTTCACTAGTAAGGTGCCAGGGTATATCTGTGTGTGTGTATATAATATAATATAAAGGTAAAGGTACCCCTGCCCGTACGGGCCAGTCTTGACAGACTCTGGGGTTGTGCGCCCATCTCACTCAAGAGGCCGGGGGCCAGCGCTGTCCGGAGACACTTCCGGGTCACATGGCCATTGTGACAAAGCTGCATCTGGCGAGCTAGCGCAGCACACGGAAACGCCGTTTACCTTCCCGCCAGTAAATGGTCCCTATTTATCTACTTGCACCCGGGGGTGCTTTCGAACTGCTAGGTTGGCAGGTGCTGGGACTGAGCAACGGGACCGCACCCCGCCGCGGGGATTCGAAATGCCGACCTTTCAATCAGCAAGCCCTAGGCGCTGAGGCTTTTACCCACAGCGCCACCCGCGTCCCATAATATAATACAATACCATATAATACCATACCAGCAACCTATACAATAAGATGTATGACAGCATAAGAACAGTTGATATACGATTAAAATGATCAAACCAGACAATCTGAATGAATGTGAATGGTTACATAGACCAGCCTTTCATTTTTAAAAATTGTTGTCCAAGGCGCTCCTGCCCGCACCTTCTTTGAAGGAAGCACCCTGGTGCTTGTCTCCAGGCTGGAACTAAGCTGGTCCTAGGAGGCCAGAGCTTGGGCAAAATGAGACAATTAACATATCTTAAACTAAATAACCACATACATATAGATGGTCTGATTCAGCAGGACTCTTCTTAGGCCTCACTTGTTGATTTTCTACCTCTCAAGTTGTTATTAGCTACAGTAGCTGTTCCTGAAAAAAAGATTTCTAGAAACAATAAATGGTAAAGTTGGAAATTATCTCCAAGGGTCATGTAGTTCAATTGCCTACAATGCAGGAATCTCCACTCCTATCCTGCACCTTTTACTTCTAGAGGTCTCATTTGCTTCCCTTAAATTAAACTCTGCTACTTACCCCTTCTGAAACTCTTATAGAGTAGTGACTAACATAATCTGCACTATCCCAGGGTATGGTCTGAAGGCTGAAACTAAGCTGACCTACATCTGGTTAATGCCTGACCCACCTAGGAACCACATATACATTGCCTTGGGTTTCCATAGGGGGGAAAGTGGGATATAAATTTAAATAAATATATAAAAATTATATATTATTATGAGGGACGCGGGTGGCACTGTGGGTAAAACCTCAGCGCCTAGGACTTGCCGATCGCATGGTCGGCGGTTCGAATCCCTGCGGCGGGGTGCGCTCCCATCGTTCGGTCCCAATTGCCAACCTAGCAGTTCGAAAGCACCTCCGGGTGCAAGTAGATAAATAGGGACCGCTTACCAGCGGGAAAGTAAACGGCGTTCCGTGTGCTGCGCTGGCTCGCCAGATGCAGCTTGTCACGCTGGCCACGTGACCCGGAAATGTCTGCGGACAGCGCTGGCTCCCGGCCTCTTGAGTGAGATGGGCGCACAACCCTAGAGTCTAGCAAGACTGGCCCGTACGGGCAGGGGTACCTTTACCTTTATAAAAATTAAAACCTGCTTTTTGGGGTTCCAAGCACTGACCTACCTTGCAGGGTTATTGGAAAGATTCCAAGGTAATGCACGTGAATCTCTTTGAACACTTGAACATAAATGCAAATATTCTCCTGCATGGCTAAGCACCCACACCGTTTGTTTTGGCAAAGACCCTACACTGACTTGGTCACAAGGTGTCAGCCTTGTTCAGCATTGCTCTGCACAGGAAAGAATCTGTTCTCCGCTCTTTTTCCTGTCTCTCTCTCCCCTCGCCCCCGCCCCCATGGTTTCACACTGAAAACTGCTGTTTTTAAGGGGTTGTATTTTTTATAATTTCATTTGTGAGTTGCCCAAAGAAGAATGCTGTTGGACACTCCTATATAACGGTCATCTCCAGGCTTGACTACTGTAATTCGCTCTACGCGGGGCCATAGGCGCCGACTCCATGGGGCTTGAGGGGGCTTGAGCCCCCTCAAAAAATTTTTTGGGGGGCTCAGCCCCCCCAATAATCTCGGGCGCCGGGGGCGGGGGCTCCTGCCTCGCTGCTTCGCAGCACCACCGCCACTGCCAAGGCACTGCCGGGGGGGAATTTCCTTCCTCCTGGCGGTTTCAGCCCCCGCGAGAACAGGGGAATCCCCGACTGGCCACACCTCCCAGCCAGCCAATCGGCTGGCTGGGGGGGCGTGGCTTGCCCTATTTAGGGCCGGGAGCCACTTTATTTGCATATTCATGAGCTTATTTATTATTCATGAGCTTTCCCGGGCCCCCCCAATATTTTTTATAAGTCCGCGTCCCTGCGCGGGGCTGCCCTTGAAGCTGTCCCAGAAACTCCAGCGGGTACAGAATGCTGCAGCGAGGCTCCTCACGGGGTCTTTGCCATGGGAGCATATTCACCCAGTGCTTTTCAAGCTGCACTGGCTCCCGGTGGAGTACAGGGTCAGATTTAAGGTGCTGCTTTTGACCTTTAAAGCCCTTCACGGCCTAGGACCCTCGTACCTACGGGACCGCCTCTCCTGGTATGCCCCACGGAGAGCCTCAAGGTCCATAAATAACAACACCCTAGTGGTCCCAGGCCCTAAGGAAGTTAGATTGGCTTCAACCAGAGCCAGGGCCTTTTCAACTCTGGCTCCGGCCTGGTGGAACGCTCTGCCTCATGAGACCAGGGCCCTGCAGGATCTGATTTCTTTCCGCAGGGCCTGTAAGACAGAGTTGTTCCGCTTAGCCTTTGGCTTGCAGCCAATTTGATTCCCTCCCTCCCTCTCTTTCTTTTTTCTTTTCCTTCTCCTCCTGCAATGAGGCTACATTTTAATATTTTAATGTTCCATTATTTTAATGTTGTATTTATTTTTGTTTTTAAGTTGTAATCATTCTTCTTGTTTTTATTATTGCTTGTAAGCCGCTCTGAGTCCAGCCTTGGCTGGGGAGGGCGGGGTATAAATAAAAAAATATTATTATTATTATTATTAAGTGTCGAAGCCCTGCCTGACTTCTAGAACATCCGAACGGCTCGGGCCACTGATTGACATGATCACCCCTGAGTTCCCTCTCCCGCTTCGTGGAGCCTGTTTTGCTCCCTGATACACTGCAGAGGTTAGGGAGAGGAAACAAGCTGGGAGATGACTCTTAACATGAGTGGAGGAAAACTCGGGTTGCATGCAATCAAACACAGGTAAGGGCTAATCATCGAGCCTGCGTGGAGGCAGTCAAGGCAGCAATGAAGGCATACTTTGCTGCCTCTATTGCATCTTTACGCTGTCCAGAAGAGCTTTTCCAGATAGTGAGGGTCCTCTTACCGTCTGGCCTGAAGGAGGTGGCAGAACTGATGAGAGCTTGCTGTGACTTGCAAAGCATTTTGAGGACAAAATTGCTTGCATCCAGCAGAATCTTGACTTCTGTTACAACAGCTGAATCTCGAGGGGTATCCAGAGCACCGTCTAGCTCTGTTGTGTTGGATGAGTTTCAGTTAATAAGGCTAAAGGATGTGGACAGGGTGCAAGCACTTGTACTCTGGGACTTTTCCTCTCTTAGCTGATAAAAACAAGCAGGAAGGGGACAGCTGCTTAGGCCAGGAAGACTATTAATGCCTTTCTGTGAGGGCTTGACAAGGGCGTCAGTGTAAGGCCCACGGGTTCTGTGCTGAAGTACTTTTGCAGCCCACTTGGTATGAAAAGTTGGACCGACCTGATTGAGATGAAGGACATGGCTTTTTCCCCCATGGAGAGCATCTTTCCAAGAAGTCCAGTTCCCATTACAGCAGGTCACTTCTGCATCACCCACCATAAAGGTAAAGGTACCCCTGCCCGTACGGG